TCTGCCTTCAGCTCAGGTCATGATCTCAGGGTCCTGGGATTGAGCCCCACGTCTGGCTCTGTGCTCAGCGGGGAGTCTGCTTCTCCCTCTCCCTTTGCCCCTCCCTCTGCTCATGTACATGTACTCTCTCTCTCTCTCTCAAATAAATAAATAAGATCTTTAAAAAGAAAATGTTTGGGGAGCCTGGCTGGCTCAGTCAGTGGAGCACGCAACTCTTCATTTCAAGCATCATGAGTTTGAGCCCCCCTTTGGGGTTGGAGATTACTTTAAAAAAAACAAACTTAGTGGCTTAAAACAATAGAAGTCATGTATTATTTCTCAATTTCTGAGTCAGGAATTCAGGCGGGGTTCAATTGGGCATTTCTGTTTCAGTCTCATGAGGTTGCAGTCAGATGTAGGCTTGGGCTGTGGTCGTCTGAAGACTTATTTGGAGCTGGAGAATCCACTTCCAAGGTGGTTCCCTCCCATGTCTGGCAAGTTGGCTTAGTCTGTTGGCCACATGGGCTTTTCCACAGAACAGCTTGAATATTCCCACAGCATGGCAACTGGCTTATTCTGGAGCAAGTAATCGATCTGAAAGACCGAAGCAGAAGCTGCAGTGCCTTTTATGACACAATCTTGGAACTCACGCATCACGTCAGCCATATTCAGGGCCAGCCTTGATTGAATTTCGGCAGGAGAGTAATGAAGGGCATGTGCTGGGAAGTAAGGATCAGTAGAGGCTGTCCTGGAGGCTGGCTACCACAGATGAGGATGACATTTTCAGCTGGAGCATTGTCTGTCTTCTTAAAAATGTCTAAGGATGGAAGCCCTTACATGTTCCTTTATAATATTGCTCAAGAAGTTGTTTCTTGGGGGCACCTGGCTGGCTCAGTCGGAAGAGCATGTGACTCTTGATCTCAGGGTTGTAAGTTGGAGACCCTCATCAGGTGTAGAGATCACTTAAAAAATAAAATCTTAAGGGTCGCCTGGATGGCTCAGTCAGATAAGTGTCTTCCTTCGGCTCAGGTCATGATCCTGTAGCCCTGGGATCGAGCCTTGCATCATCATCGTCGTCGTCGTCATCATCATCATCATCATCATCATCATCATCATCATCATCATCGGGCTCCCTGCTCAGCAGGGAGTCTGCTTCTCCCTCTTGCTCTGCCCCTCCCTGCTCCTCAGGCTCTCTCTCT